CCCCAAAACCCCAAAACCCCAAAACCCCAAAACCCCAAAACCCCAAAACCCCGCTGTAAATCATCGCTATTGAATCCCCTAAAAATTAGTATTTCTACGTACAAATAGTCCACCAAAAATGTGCTATTAAGAGATTAACTTTTTAACTTCTGAATGGACAGTTCCAGCCAGGCTTTTACCAGAATAGGCCCATTGTCTGTGGTAGTGGGCTATACAGGGCTCAATGCAAGATCGCAGATTTTTTTGACGGAGGCAAGGAAGGGGATGAAGAAGTGTTTTAGTGAGTTTAGGAATGAGTTGTTCCGTGCTGTTACCAAGCCCAAATACACGATGCACTTCAACAACCTAGACTACCCCACAATGCTGGCCTACATCAAAGACCTCTACGTGAGCTACTACATCACATTTTCCCTGTCTGATCCTACTCTTCTGCGCTGAGCAGTAAAGTTCCTCTGCGAGAAGCGCCTTTTTGTTATGATTTCTGTTAAGAATATTTGTATTAGGCATGACCTGTATGACGAGTTTTGTGGGTTACTAAAAGCCCAGGATACCGAGGAAATTAAATTCTCACAAATACACAAAAGGGCAATAAGGAAATGAAACTTTACAGAAGAAGGGAATCGTCAAACGGACTATTGGGATATGAACATTGATAACATGAAAGAATGGGATAAACTGAAGGAAAGCGAACCTGTTGAAATTTGAAACGCCAGAATTATACTTGACCCAACCATGGCCCAACATATCAGGCAATTTAAGTGAAGTGCGGAATTAGTCACTTTTTTCGTACGAAGCGGGAGCGCTATTGATGATCTTATGTCAACGAAGAGATCCCAGTTCTTCAGGAATATCGAGTCAGTGGAGTTTGATGTAATTGAACAAAGCAGCATTTCAATGCTTTTTAAAATTGATAAGTTGCTTAAAAAGTTTCCCATTGCAACTGTTAAAGAACTCAAGAATATCTATAGTAGTAAGATATTGAAGGATCTGATCCATAAAGTCCAATACTGAAATTCCTTATCGATGGACTGGAGTAGTGATATTAAGGCAAGAAATGTATTCATTTATTACCAATCAGGAGGAAATGTGTATCGAGCAGATGTAAACAGAATTAGTTTTCAAGTGAACCTTGGAGAGGATGACTCCCTACCTGACTGAAAATAAGTACATTAACTGAATTTCTGGTCCTTTAAACCTTATTGATATGTCTGACTGGAAAGTTAGCCGAATCAAAAACCCAAATAAGGAACTTTGAGATATGCTGAAAAGTGATGACTCGACCATACTTTTGAGAAATAGAAAACTCAAATTGCTCTTTGAGTGAAGCGATATGTTCTATCAGCCTGTGAAAAGGATGTATGAGCTCTTAGATGTAGAGCTCATTGATGGAGTGAAAAATTATGGGGATATTTCTTTATTCTCTCATTTTAAACCAAAACCTTCGATGTGACCACAAGAATCTGTCCTGTCATTCAACAAGCAAGGAATGCCTTTTGAAGAAACAGATTTAAAGATTTTAGAATTGAAAGGAGTCGATACTTTCATATTCGTGTTTCATTCTTCCGAATTTTTAGTGAATTTACAAAAATGTAAAGAAGCTTGAGAGATACTATTTGGAAAGGCAAGCAAGTTCTTAAAGATATTCTTCATTATCTACTATAAAAACACAATAAACCCATTGCAGCTGACTAGAAAATCACGAAGAGATGAAATATTCAAAAATTTATCAGAATGTAAAACAGAGAAAGACATCCTAACCTCATTTAAAAAGTATCATTCAAAGTGGAGTCAAGACGATATGCCATATATCAAGCCCAGCATAACTAGGTACATCAAATAATAGTCCTCTGTGAGGCTCTCCCTCCACTCTCTTGGCATAGCCTGCTTGTCAGGTCTATAATTAGGTAAACCTCAAGTTTAGCCTAAATCTAAGGGGTTTTGGGGTTTTGGGGTTTTGGGGTTTTGGGG